GAGAGAGAGAGAGAGAGAGAGAGAGAGAGAGAGAGAGAGAGAGAGAGAGAGAGAGAGAGAGAGAGAGAGAGAGAGAGATGGGAAACTAGCTGACAGGAGGTAAGTTGTGCTTGGACAGGTAAGCGCAGAAAGGTGTGAAGACCGAGGGCCATGGAGCCGAAGGCGGGGCATTCGGGTCGTCTTTTTGCAGCAGTTGGAGTGCTGGTTTGTCTATTTGCAGTTGCAGTGTCACAACTGCCTGGTGCCCTTGCTGCTGAGGAAGATGTACTTGTTCTGGATTTTACCAACTATACAGATTCGTTGCCGAAGTACAGTTTCCTTCTGGTGGCCTATGTCGCTCCCTGGTGTAAATACTCGAAAAGGCTGAAGACTCCGTACGATGCGGCTGCCGGTGTGCTGAAGAGCGATTCTCCGAAAATCACCCTGGCAAGGGTCGATGCCAGCGACGATGAAAACCGACCGATCGCTCTTCAGAATGATATCAACGATTTTCCGACCCTGAAGATCTTCAGGAATGGCCAGTTTTTCATGCCGTATGCCGGTCCCCTCGACGACACAGAGGGGATGGTGGCTTACCTCCGCAGACAGGCGGGACCGGCGTCGCTGGAGATCACGGAAAGAGCACAGGCGGTGGCACACCTGGCGGAAAACCCCGTTGTCGCCATCGGGGTGTTTGACAAGTTAGAAGGAACAAAATGGGACGCCTTCAAGCAGATCGCCGAGGAGGTCCGCACGGAGATCCCTTTCGTGCACACTACGAACGTCGAGCTGTTGGGAGTGAGAGGCGGGCCTTTCACGTTGTCCCCGCCAGGGTTTCGGGTGTATACGGCTTTCGACAAAGAGATTTACGATTCGAACGAGTTCGACACGAGAAAGATGAAAGCGTTTGTCGAGGACGTGTCGACGCCGCGTGTCATTTCGACCAGCAAGGACCCCAAGATAGGAGCTTTCGTGATGAAGTCCTTCGACGGAGACGAGCCTAAGGTGTTTGCGCTAGTACGCGGCAATGGCAAAGACGCGGCCGAGTTGATCTCTGCCATCAAGGCCGAGGCCGATGGAAAATTTGGGAAGCTATACCGATTCATCGTGACTGAGGTGACCGACAACCCGCAAGCCCTCCACTACTACGGTGTCCAGCCGAATGACGTCCCCACCCTGGTGATCCATGACACGGTGAAGGAGAAGAAGTACTTGTTGCCGAACGCCACAGCTGCAGCTGTCCCTCTCTTCTTGGAAGACTTCCGCGCTCGCAAGCTTGTCGAATCGATAAAGTCGCAGCCGATTCCTGAGAAGGATGACGATCTTGTCAAGACAGTCGTGATGAAAAACTTTGACGAGGTCGTGAAACAGGCCGGAAAGAACGTTCTCATCCTGTTCTATGCGCCATGGTGCAATGTCTGCAAGCGACTCATGCCCTCGTACGAGGAAGTCGCTAAGGAATTCCAAGACGATGACGAGATCGTTGTTGCCAAATTTGATGCAACAGCAAACGATATTGTCGATAAGAAGTTCTCCGTGAGAAGTTACCCTACGATCTACTTCCGATCGAGCATGGGCGTGCTCACATGGTATGCCGGAAAAGGCGAAACGGACGACGTTATCGCTTTTGTTGACATGCACAGGGGAGCCGGGCTGGGAGATATGGATGGGGAGGAGGGCGCTGTGCTGGGAAATGTGGACGCTGAGGAGGAGGAGGAGGCGGAGGAGGAGGAGGTGGGGGAGAACTTGGATTCAGTGACTATGCAAGATCCTCCCAAAGATGAGTTGTAGTAGAGGTGCAGACATTACATGGTTCCTCAAGGAGATGAATCTTAACGCTCACGACAACCGAAACAGGCCTCTCAAATTTCCAGAGAAGCAAACGCGCTGTTTGTGCATGTGTGTGTGTGTGTGTGTGTGTGTGTGTGTGTGTGTGTGTGTGTGTGTGAGAGAGAGAGAGAGAGAGAGAGAGAGAGAGAGAGAGA